GGTCACTGTCATCTTATATCTATGGGCAGATTTAAAGCCGTCAGATTAGCACCTTTGGCTCAGCAGATACACATACAGTGTGTGTTATTTAATGACATGGGGTGCTCCAGTGCTGGACTGAGTATAAAAACAACTCTGGAATATAAAGCAGTTTATGCCAAATGACTGACCTTTGATCAGCTCTGAGTACCAATATTGCTTCATTATTTAATATCAGCACCATGAAGGTGATATTTAAATGCATCATCTAAGTATGTTCTTTATTATTTTCTTTTCCCTTTAGTCAATTATTTCTATAACAAAAAGATCAGGAAAAATCAATAACCTGGCGGATTTTTGGCTACTGTATCTCTTATGCATTTCCATGGCAGCTTATTTGTGGCTAACAATGTATGCAATTTACTAAAGGCAAATAGGTTGTTCACTTTTCAAGGGAATTTTCCTTAGCTTAGTGTAGCTCTGCTGGCTTCCATCATCTAATCGTGTACAAGAAAAAGACAATTTTTTTAATTCTTCTTACACGTGGGTATTCTATGCAAAGTACATTTTCACCACATTCACTAAGTTAAGGGAAAATTCTCCTGCAAAGTGAACAGTCTTTAGTAAATCAACACTAATGAATCTGTAACTCCTTATAACTGCATAAAGATGTCACACAATCAACATTATTGAACAATTAGCTTTATGTAGTGCATGAAATGAATTAGATTCATTATCACACAAAGGATTAAAGTGTCTGCTTGTTATAGTGAAGAGTAAGGCCCCTGTCATCCTGTCATGTTTTTTTTTTTTTTTCTGTCTGTATTCCTGTTACAGCTTTTCCCTGTGAGCAGGCCAGAAAGTAAGGTAAATCTCTCTAATGGAGCCCCGGATAGCAATAAAAACCCTACTGGAGTTCTAATCCCTTTTTACTCTATTCACAAGTAAAAAAAATTATATACCCCGGAATGATTTTTTAGGTTGTAAGAAATTGGTCACGATAAGGATCAAAAGTGTAAAGCTTTGTGCTCAAACCTTCTATGTGCTTTATAATGTATATGTAAATGGCTTCCAAACAACTGAAAACGAAACCACTGCAGGGAAAATGAAGGAACTTTGCCTTAAAGTGTAGCTGCAATTTTAAACTTTTTTTTTGTGCAAGAGTATAACTGCAGCCTAAAAAATATAATAACCTAACATTTTTTCAAAATGTGTTTCTTTGGCCATTTCTATGACTCAAAAAAAAGCCTGGTGCTGAGATCACTCACTATCAAGCTCTCTGTCTAAGTACAAGGATGCAGGTCAAGGCCCAAGTACAGACACACTTCCCATTTAAGCTGGCCATGCCCAGTTTGAATTTCAGCCATTTCCTGCTAAGTCGGCCAAAATTCAATCTGTAATTGCCCCTTCTGACACCACCTGGCTCGCCAAAGCTCAATCTTTCAATCATTTTTTGTTAAAGGAGCAGGGTTAAAAATTGTTGGATGAACAGTGATTGCAGCCAATGAGTTACAATCACTATTTGGGTATTATAACAGCTGTGGACATGGGTTGTCAGAATACAAAAGCAGGAAAGATTTGTCCATCTCTGCTGTTTTGCATGGATGGTTAAATAGAGTGATTTGTTTTGATTCTTAGAGTGCATAGCCAGCTTTATATCCAGCAGCCGCTCTCACTTACAAACTTGGTAAACCATGCCACATATAACATGTACACCAATGTATAACGATTATGGGCATTGAATAAAAGAGGATGAGTCAGATTGATTTTCATTTCATTTGCAGATATCATTGTGCAGTTACATGTTGGACCTGGGCACTGCAGCAAAATAGTATATTCTATAAGGAATACTGTGTAAGCAGTGGTGCATTTTTCAGTTAGTATGACATCCTATTTAAAAGGAACTATACTAGAAAGTGAAAAGTTGGACAAAAATATACACATAGATCACAAATATAGTAAAAAATATCTAGTTTTGTTATGAATTTCCCTGAACATCAAAGCAATAGGCCCTTGCCTCAACTGTTTAAACGGTGAATCTAGAATTGTGGTTGAGTGGCTCATGAATATATATTATGCAATTATGAGCTAGTGGCATCAAAAAGACAACTGTACAAACCACAATACACAGACACTTTGAGATAAAAGCAAGTACATACAAGCAGAATTCAAATAACAAAAAAAGAGCAAAGTGGGTTTCCTGCTTTGCCTAGATTTTAAAGAGTAGTGGATATCCTTATGGAGACTGGCAAAATGGTGTTAATTGCTGTGTTTTTTTAAAACCTTAAACTGGGAAGATACAACATACACTTAAAATATTTTAATTTGAAAATTTAGGTAGCTCTAGCACAGACAATGAGACAAATACAAATAAAAGTTCTTTAAACATCAAATATACATTCACATATATCCATTCTGAAAAATACAAATTGATTAAAAAAAAAAACACTTACTGTAACATTAGGATCATGCTTTATGATAACACCCTTTGTAACCAATATTGGATTGATAATCAAAACATTTTTAATGAACACCAATGAGCTTATTTAATAGTGAGTGCAATAAACAACATGATACATGCAAAGTAGAGTAACCTGTGACAAACATTAGGCATTCACTGCTTTATTACATGATGCATTCTTATTCGCTGCCCAGGGTACTCTGCTTTGCACTAAGCGCTTTGCTCCTTGTACCATTTTATAAGCCTGACAAATGTTTAGAATAAGAAAAGCTCTTGTAGAGCCCTGTTTAACATCATTCATGCACTGCTCCAATTTATGAAATATGCCCCATAGTGGTATTACAAAAGACAGGAGGAAAACCAATATAACTGGCTCATTGAATATTATGTACACATTTGGTAATGACAGAAATTATTTGCAAAAGGAGGAATGTACAGAAAATGGTAATAGAAGATGGAGATGCATATTGTGGGTAAAGGAATAACCTATAGTTAAACAGAAGACAAAAAAAGCAGATTGGTTACCATCTATAGATATCCCTTTTCCAACAGTACAGTGCTTTACCATACTGCCCGCAGCTTCATGCCTGCATAGTACCTCATTCACTAAGGATGAGGTCTATGATTAATAAAGAGAGACCCTGCCAGCCACAGCACATGTATATTGAACACTATGGGGTTTACTAAAGGCAAATATGATATTTACTTTGCAAGGGAATTTTGATTTATTGAATGATATTTCACAGTGCAAGAAAAATACATTTAAAAAAAAACAAAACATATTTTTGCTTGCACGTGATTGGATGATGGAAGTCAGCAGAGCTTCACCACCTTCACTAAAGTAAGGGAAAATTCCCTTGCAAAGTAAACACCCTTTTTACCTTTATTAAATCAACCCCTATATCACATGAATGTAGGGACTTCTATATTAATTTGATATGTGGACAGCTAGCCCACTGCAATTCCGGAGGATCATATGCAATTTCTATTGGCAGAATGTTATATTAGTTAGGAGTCTGAGCTGCTATTCTCCCACATATATTTAAATTTATATGTACAAGCAACTTAAATAAATATGATGCAGTTCTAATCAACTCTGACGCAGCCCCTTAAGCAACCCAGAGCAACTCAAGAGTAGGTCCACGCAACTTAGAAACACGTGCAAGCCTATTGCATTTGAGTTTGATGTTTATGTACATTACACAAGCCCTTAGAGACCTATGCTTGTGGTTTTTTCTAAATACGCTCAGTAAATAAGCTTCATCCCCATTCAAATACCTAGCACTAGATATATAATTTATGAATAAGAGCAGGTTCACATATAAAAATTCCCTTATGATCTTTTCAAAAAGTGATACAAAACTCTGATGACTATAGAATTTGACAGAGACTTTACTTTGCCAGAGAATTGCTATGAATGTTACAAATGGGAAATACTGTAGTTGTTTGGTTTCATAAAACCAGAAATATTTCCAGTAGGGAAGAAGGAGAAGAAGGTCTAAGGAGAAAGGGTAAGTAAGGATAAAACAATAGCTTGCACCATTTTCTAAAGTTATTAAACCTTTAGTAAAATGATGAGAACTTCTATCCTGATGGTATCCATATGAGCTTTTCTTTTTCTTCTGTTAAACTATATATTTGGTTTTGTAGGGAACACCAGCTAAAACTATATAGGGACTATGTGATTCCCCTGTGATATACAGTATGCAGTTTATTTTCCCCCTTCTTATTTGTGTTTGTTGGAAAGGATAAGCTGCATTACCACAGATGCAATTGTACAGATGTACTTTAAAAGTGCCGTATACAATCTTACACAATTTGTCATTTATTAGCTGTCAATCATTACATACATGTTACTGAAAGACCTTTAGTGTGTTTGGCAAATTTAGAGTGCCACGCCTGGTATTACTAAATGCTATCTGCTCCGGAAGGTGAACACTTTTTACCATACGCTAGAAAACAAGGTTGGATCCTTTGGACAACAGATCACATCCTCTTTTCCCTCTCACTATAATGCCTTGATGGCAATGTGCAATATTGGCTGTCAATACTCTAAGTAGTACTTAGAAATTGCATCAATGTGTATGCATGATTATAAATAAGGGTATGGGAATGCTGCACTTTGCATGGGTTATGTTTATTCACAAATTTTACATTCTGAATACTCAAATATATACATGCCACCCAATGAGCCAGTCTAAAACAGACCTATGAAATGTCACTGGAAAATACCCTTTGCTCACTGATTAAAATTTTAAGACTTTATGTAGTGCTAACTCCCTTTACGATACAAGACTGTTGAGGATTACCCTTAGCTTTCCTTTAACTATTTTTAGAGCAGATCTCATGCCATAATTACAGCATATTATATATCTACTTACTTAATCTCTCTCCACAATACCGCTTGACTTTGACAAACACACAAAAAAGACAAAAATGTGCAAGAATATCTATACAATATAAAAAGAACCCACAGGAATTAAAAACTATTGACACAAATTAAAAAACAAATCTTGCAATACATATTTATATATAAAAGTATTAAAGGTTTCTCTTTCCAACCCACTGAAAGAGACGAATGCCAGTTGTAGTCAATGCAGACTAAACTGTGCAACAATTTTTTTTTGTAAGTTTCAGGTTAGAGTTCACTTGTAGTGTAGTATGGATACACTTATTAAACTAGGGTCCATTGTTCCCAAGTGTTCCTTGAAAATCCAACTGTGCCCACATAGGCACAATGTTAGGAATGTTACCACCAAATTGTGGTCACGCTGAAGCTTCAATATAGTCACTCTTTGGAGCCAGTGGAAAATATTCGGGATTTTCTGCAGCAGGAATCTTAAAAATTCCATTCATTTTGGTTTCCTTTGGGAAAAAGTCTTGTTGGTAGTCAGGATTGTCCAGGCTGATTTGCTGGTTTACTTTTTGATCCCAGATGTTAGGATAGTCATTTTCTGGTTGGATTATGTGCATCTGGCTTGAGTTCAGGTATTCTGGATTAATTACACTCTTTCCATTGGAATTTTGATAATTTCCATTCATAGGAGGCCTAATATTTCCAAGTGAAACTAAATTCAGATAAGTTGGATTTGCTACTGTCGAAATTTCTGACTTTGGATTTATCTGGTTGACATATTCTGAAATACAGAAATCAATCATGATAACACTCAAACAGAATGTAAATGAAAGAACAAAAAGGCTTTGATGTGCAATTATTTACGAATTGTAACAACTTGTACACATCTAAAAAACACAGTTTTAAAATACTGTAAATTCTCTTCAAATGTCTATAAGAGGGAAAATAACAGGTTTGCTTTTATGCCCCCTCCCCAGCTGCACAATCTAACTTTTCCTTTGCTACCCTACCACTATGTTCAGCTGCTGAAGTAAAATAGTTGTAATTGCTCAAGTCGGAGTTTGCACAGGCTGAGAATTTTTACCCCCCGCCCCTTCCTGTGACAATGATGGACCAGTCTGCAAGAACCAATGCTGTACCATGGAGTGAGCCACATTCTCCTTCAAACTGTTATTTTTATTGCTCCTGATGATTGAACAGAGCAACGGAGGAGAGAGGGAGAGCTATAGGAGAGCATATGTGGCTGGGGAGGGCATTAAAGCAAACCTGTTGATTTTCCCCTCATGGACACATGAGCAGGTTTGTTTTAAGATGCATTAAATCATGCGAAAGGGTTTGGTTAAAACACTTGTAGATGAAAAAATAGAAGTAAAAATTAAAATTGTTGATTATATTGCGCAATCAAATTTTTTTATTTGATTTTACGAAATAATAAAAGATGAAGCCTGACTGCCAATATGGGCAATAAGTCCATTTTGTTCCCATTTTCTTTCCTCCACAGTTTTTTTTTATAAATAGGCCCCAACTGTTTATTGTAAGTGACTGTAGTAGCACTTATGAGTAAATACCTAAACATTTCAGGAGACTATGAGAACAATATTTAATGCGAAAATAGATATTTAAAAAAACACAAATGGTTTCCTGTCCAAAATAAAACTACCAACTTGCTGCCACCTGGCCGCACATCAAAATTGCAAGCTGTCAATTATCTCAATTTCTCAGTATGATTGGTTGTTATGGGTAATGCTTCCACATTTTGGTGATTACATTTTTACAGTTTAACCATTCTTCTGGTGGTAAACACAGCTTTAATTTGTATATAACATGTGAGCCAGTAAAGATAGTGTTGGATTACACTGCTTGACAATCACAATAATATAGTAATACATTGATATATAAAAAGATAAACTTTAATGCAGATCTATACACACTATACAAAGGCCAGAAACAATACTAATATTGAGATTCTTACATAAAGAAAAACACAATTCCTTGCCAGCAAGGCCCCACTGTATGACAAGATTGTGACATAGGTGACAAAGCATTCATTAGATATCAATGTTCATAATGCACAAAAAACTTACAATATGCTACCAAGCAGACTCACTACTTTATAAGCGCTGCTTTGCATATAATATTGCATATCATATTGGCCTCAATTCCATATATGGGATATTATTTCCATGCACCCATCCTAATACAGGCACAGATTCTGAAATAAATCAGTAGAAGATATGCATGCCAGTGTATTGTGTGTGTATGTCATTGGCACACCTTGCTGCCAAATACTTGATATATATATCAGCTCTATGTCCTCCAGCAATAACATGGATAGACTTGTATCGCACAGTCAGCAAGGCATCATTATACTTTCTCTGTATAGTCAGCAAGGCATCCTAATACTGGCTCCGTATAATGGATACACTCAAAGCCAAAAATAAACTAGCATCAAGATCCAAGCACACAATAGTGCACAAATGTTCAGCTGGAAAATATGCAGGGAAGTTCAAGCATAAATCATAGACATTAAGTCCACAAGCATTGAAAATCCGAGCGTAGCACTGCTGAGCAAAACATTGGTGCTTATATAACAGATTGTAGACATGTGCGACGGCAAAAAATGTGTTTCGTTTCGATTTGGATTTTGCGTTATTCCGTTTTTTTGGGATTCAGGTCCGAAATTCAATTTGTTTCGGGATTCAGGTCCGAAATTCAATTTGTTTCGGGATTCAGGTCCGAAATTCAATTTGTTTCGGGATTCGGACGAAATTCGTTAGCGGTAGTCAGGATGAAATTTTGATTGTTGGACGAAATTGCGTTGCAGCAAAGTGCGCCTTACCAGGCCACGTGCCCTCGGCATTGGGAGGGTGTCCCCATGCCGATGGGGACAAAGGCCTCTTCCCCACAACCCTGACCCGGTGGCTGTGGGGGTCTGCGGGCCATGGGGCTTATTTGCACCGGGGTACCCCTTTAATTAAGGGGGCACCCAGATGCCCCTCCGCTTGTGAACGAGTAAGGGGTACTTGTACCCCTACCTATTCACTAAAGGGTTAAATAAAATTGTTATTAAAAAGTCCAGACTTTTGATGAAATCTTTTAATTGAAAAAAAACCAGAGTCAATTTTTGACAATTCCTTTTCAAAAGGCTCCATCGATGTAATCCAGCGTCAATTACGATGCACGACGCCCGAACCCGACAAAAACTCGCCGCAAAATGACATTCCTGCTCGAATGTAAACAGATGGCCGGAGTGAGCTGTGATGTCACGGCTCGCTCCGCCCATTTGACATTCTCAGCTGTCAAATACTACATAGCATTTGGGAACTCCGGAATGATATTCGTGAGTTTCCAAATGCCATTCGGGTCTGTGAGCCGAGGTGTCATAATACTTTTCATATGACAACGAACCTTGACGTCACAGCTCACTCCGCCTATCTGTTTACTTTCGAGCAGGAATGTCATTTTGGGGCGAGTTTTTGTCGGGTTTGGGCGGTCGGTGTGCGGCGGGACTTTTTTTTCATTTCGGCGGGCGTCGTGCATCGTGATTTTTTTTATGTCACTTTGCTGCAACGGAATTTCGTCCAACAAATGAAATTTTGTCAAGACTACCGCTAACAAATTTCGGAATCGGAAATTTGGATTTGTTTGCATTCGTTATTTCTGTACTTTGGATACATACAAATGTCCGAATTTCTGAAATTTCGGCCGAATTTCGATTCGGAACAAAACGAATCGCACAGGTCTAGCAGATTGGCATATTCCAATGTAAAGTTTTTAGTGCGTAACGAACATTGATATTTATTAATGAATGAAGTGTCCCTGTGGCATTATTATTTATTCACAAATGTATCTTGAAATACAGTAGGTCACTGCAGGCAAGGAACATTTTTTTTTTTTTTTAATGAGAATCTCTATATTACTGTTTTTTCCCCCTAGATTTTGTATAGTGTGTTTAGATCTGTAATAACATTTATATTTTTATATATTAATTTATTGATATATGAAGGTGGTTGTCAAGCAGTGTAATCCAAAGCAACTTCATATTAACCTTTGGCTGTATTAACATAGCTTGTGTAGGTATGTCTGTTTCCTTTTTGTGTTACAGCATTAATTTGCTCTATGTTTTCAGGTTCATGGAAGTAGAGCTTTTTAACGATAGCTGATATACTATATTAGATTAGTTGGAGGATAAATTCTGATTGGTTGCTTTCGGTTATGGCAGTTGGCACCTTTGCATATTTTAACCGCCTTGCTGAATAAGCTCCTAAATACAGGAGAAATGAGAACTCCGCGTTTGAGCCTGTGCATGAGTAGAGAGGATGGAGACTCCCTATGTGTAACCTGGAGAATATGAGGAGTGGTAGAGTCCAATGCTATCAGTATGAAAGAAAGCATGAAGGGCTTAAAACAGAGAGGTTAGGTAAAATAGTGATATGGAGGCACATTAGAACAGAGGGGTAAGGTAAAATAATGACATTAAGGCACAATAGAGATTGCCAGTGCTGATATGGCAGCTATGTCTCTGTTTAATAATAGCTGAGGTCAGTCAGTCCATCCAAATGTCAATGGGATCTCCCTGCCAGAATGTCCTTCACTTCCTGTCTGATCAAAAAGGTTGTCCCCAGAACAGCACACGAGGGTAAAGTTCTCTAACAGAGCATGTAAAATCTAACCTTTCCCCATATAGATATACTTCAATATAATTACCAACCTGGTGAAGGATGGAACTCCTCCTCAATGCTGTCCTCCAAAACCACAGTTGGGTCTGTGCTGTATCTTTGAATGAAGCTGTTTTCTCTGGCAGGTGGTCCCTGCTTTAATTTGGAAAAGAAGAACAGTTTGTTAATAGATTATTTTTTAAACAGTACTGTCTAACTAGACAAACAATTTGAGATTTTGGTCAGCCAGTCTTGTGACACCATTATTTCTTATTTTAGCTTTCGAGCTTCCGGTGTCATTGCCAACTGCTCACTAGACAATGCACTAAGACTTTTGATTAATTGTCCAATGATCAGGAGGTATGATTAAATATTAGTCATCTCCTTGGCTATTCAGTGTAGCAGAGATGCGTGATTTATAAGACTGGATGAACAGAAATACAAAACCCTTGATATATACTTTAAGCGCATATTTAGCTGGTTGACCAAAGTTGTGCTTAAAGCCATGACAAGAGCCCGAAATATAAGTGAAGGCTTTTCCATAGAAATTAATTGGGATTCTCCTTCTCATGTGAGGCCTGGCTGGATGATCTATTGTGAAGAGGCTCCCAGCAACCAGTGGGCATGGAAAATCTACAAGGCACATAGACAGGTAGGTGCAGGATTTTGCAAGGGCGCTGGGGGAAGAGGTTATCCATTAAAGCAGGAAAGATAGGCTGGCCAGTACCTAGTGTTGCATGTACATTTATTTTATAGAGATGCTCATGGTTCCCAGAACCCAGGAGACAAACAGAGACCTGCGCCTGACATATGAATCCCCAGTATGATAGTCAACCCAATAGTGAGGTGTACCAGAGGGCAGAACAGAGTTTTCACTTTGGAGCAGTAGTTTGTGGTTTTATATAAGGATGGTTATAAGACATGAGGGCTCTGGAAGGTATCTAAAAGTATGTATAGGCACACCTTTGTTTTCTGCTTTCAGTTTACTCTCTTCAACATAGGAACAAATACATTTTAACCCAAAAGATTCTCAGTCTTTGCTAAATATACAGGTAACAGATGACACAGAAGAAATATGCTTATTAAAGTGCAAATACATATTTTTTTTGTTATGTGGAAAAGTTACACTCTGTCAATTTTTATTACTGTCTATGTCCCTGCTAGGGAGATTCAACCCTCTGTTTGTCCTTTTGACTACTGTTAACAATACAACAAATGAGGAGGTAGCCTTCATTTTAGAGTTTGTAACCAGAACAAAAGGTGAAGGAAAATCTTCCAACGGGAATGTCTGTTATGGTGACAACTGTTCAGGAGGGAAAAACCCATCATATGAAGACAGTTCCTCTCACTTCCTGTTGCAACTCTGAGACAAAAAATGAACGCAGATCTCCCTAACATCACACAGGCAGCATAAAATAACCCTATAGGGGTTTAACCCTTACCAAATTAATCCAGAGTAGTAATGGTGGTGCACGCTAATGGGGGTGGATGATGATAGAGCATCCTTCTCAGCTCCTGGCAACCAGTGACGTCAATGGTTGCCATGAGCCGTGCAGGACACTGGCAGGAATGTCAAAGGTTGCTAAGAGATGGACAGGGAGATGTGTACGGCCTTCACACATCTCCCCACCTGGCTCTTAGCTACTTGGGACGCTCTGCCGGTCACCCCCTCACGTGACCCAAAGAGATACTGCCTAAGGCAATAGCCGCAGGCTGCCTTATTAAAGGGATGGTATTGTTTGTGCAAGTGTTGGGGTCCATATAAAATATATGTATACTTTCAATACATTATATATGTATGAGATACTCCGCACTTAGGAACTATCGTAAACCCACCTACCCTGTAATGAATACCATTTTAATACACAAAAATTAAATACATTGCAAATACTGTATATACGTCTAAATATGTTTAATATTATGCACACAAACTTACCCCATTTCGAGAGATGCACACATTGGGTGAATTGCTGCTAGTAGTAGAACTCTGTAAGGTATTAAAAAAAAGAATGTCAGTAAAATGTAAGTAAAAACTGTATTGCCAAATTAAATACAGGTAGCCCCCAGTCTGCGCCGATTCCGTTTGCGCCAGGATCGCAGCTCGGGCTGGGGCTCTAAGCAAACAAAAAACTGTGGACACCTACAGAGGCACAGAGAGGGACACTTGGAGGTATCGTGGTCCACACAATGGAGATGCACAGGGATACACATGGGGATATACACAGGCACATAGAGACATGCTGGAGTCACAGGGGATACACTTGGAGCTACATAAGCGCATAGGGGTATACTTGGAGATATGGAGGAGAACATGGGTACACTTGCAAATATGGAGGAGCACAGGGGTACACTTGCAAATATGGAGGAGCACAGGGGTACACTTGCAGATATAGAGGAGCACAGGGGCACACTTGGAGATATGGAGGAGCACCGGGGTACACTTGGAGATATGGAGGAGCACAGTGGTACACTTGGAAATATGGAGGAGCACAGGAGTACACTTGGAGATATGGCACACAGAAGTTAATTTGGCAATATGGAGACACATAGAGCCACGCTAGGGGCACAGGGGCATTAATGACATTAATTTCAAAGCTTTAAATATAGTTTATTATGTCACTTATGTCATTTTTGAGAGAGGCCTGGAACCTAACTCCCTCACTTCCCATTGACTTACATTATATACTGGATTTCAATTTACATTGGTTTCTATTTGCAACCATTCCTTCTGGAACCTAACCCTGGAGTAAATCGAGGGATATGAGGATATGCATATGAGGAGGTTGTGTAAAAAAATCTCACTTGCTGATGACTTCCTGCTACTGTAACGTTAGACTGAATTTTACCCAATTATCTACTTCCCTTAAATGACTAAAGGAGTACAGTATTCACTTTTTCCCAGAGATGCTGCAGTCACTCCAATCATCCAATCATGTAGAAGGGAGAGTCCAATGTTTTTTCATTTCTCTACAAATGACTGAATGTTCAAAGTGAATACAGAATGCTTCCCACTAAAGTCAAGGCGGGCAAACCCTACATACCTTTACAATAATGTGATCATTTTTAAGTGCAGTAACATAAATAAATCAGAATTCACTTTACAGAAAGCAGACCAGTACAAGATGGATTTTGGCTGATTGCAAAGTGTTTCTGCATTAGAACATTAAAGGAGAACTATGAGGTGAGTGCTTTTCACTCACCTCATAGTTCTAGCCGACCTGTGACAATGAGACTGTCACAGGTCGGCTCAATAGATCGGGAGGTGAGCGAACACATGCCGGTGTTCGCTCACTTCTCGATCCTGTCGTGGCTCTCTGCCGTGACAGGGGAGGGGATGGATTTCCCCCTCCCCGCTCCGATCCGCCAGCGCTGACTGGCGGAACGGACGTGGGAGGGGGCGGGTACAGCTGGCTCTGCCTCTAGATAGGCAGAGCCAGCTGTCACTCACGCAGCTGGGCGGATCTCGACATCGATGTCGGGATCCGGTCTGGCTGCGGGGTCTCAGTATAACGCGAGCTGTAGCTCGCGGTATACTGAGCTTAGGGTGACGGGAGGACGCTAGTTTGTGTCCTCCTGTTACCCTAAGGAGAACTATGGGGAAAAGCCCTGACCCCATAGTTCTCCTTTAAGTAAGACCTCTTTTTTTTTAATACTATTGCTGAGATGTGAGGGGAGCAAGTATTTCACCATACAGTAGGTATATCTTGTCCTCAGAGGTTTTCTAATCTTCAGCTAATAAAAGATAAACTATTAGTTCTTGTAAATAACGTAGATAATCAGTCGGACCTCTCTTGTATTGTGTTTTTAGAACCTAGATTCACAATAATACAGTAATACCTGTATGCATACCATAGTACTCAGAAGAGGAGTCCTTGATGTTGAAGGACTACTAAAGAATCCTTGGTGTGGGATCAGATATTCTTCAGCATCAACAATATCTCCCATGTCATCTGCTAATGCTCGATGAAACTTGGATTCCACAGGGCTGGGTAAGTGCATTCTGTCATCTCCCTGAAATAAAGCATATTATGCAATCTATTTATTGCCAAATATCTATGACAACATTGCCAAGTACAAATGCTATGTATCTGCAAGGCATTTTTAATTTACCGATCCCATATCTCTTGGTTAATGAGTGAGACATTCCACCTATAGTTGGAGGGATGTATGTAGAGCTGTAGAGGCCAAGGTTTGTGTTGGGGCTCTCTCACCCCTCTCTCTGTCCTGTGCAACTGCAGCTGCTTCTTTTTTTCTTGCATGCATCCCTCAGCTGGCTTCCCTTTACTGTGCACTATCCATTAGTGCAGGGGTGGGCAAACTCCTGCCCTTCCACTGTTGTGTAACTACAAATCCCATTAGGCATTGCAAGATTCTCACAGCCAAAGGCATGACTCCTAGAGACAGATGCATCATGGAATTTGTAGTTTCACCACAGCTGAAGGGCCAGAGTCTGCCCACCCCGGCATTAGTGTGTTGTCACTTGATCATGTACAGGGGATACGTGGGGAAGCGTCCACAGGCCCTGAGAATTTCCTTCACAGCTCTGCTCTGCATGATCTTCAGACATTACATCTCCCATCTCTACTGGCACACCCTAGTTAAATGTACATTTTTTGTTTTATGGCAGGGGAAGATAGAAACTGTCACAGCTATTTCCCTCCAAAGAGCCTAGGCTCCACTGCAACCCCTGTTACTATGCAACTACAAAATATTACCTCCTTCATTAACCTACATTTTACCCAGAAGTCTCCCATGCTGGGGTATTGTACTCTGACAGACTGCAGCTGTCACAATATTCAAACAGTAACTGCAGCTTATTGGCTATAAAATTAAACGTGTTAATCAGAACTCAATATTTTGGCTCAATTTTAAATTTGAAGGTTAGGATGGGGCAATACATAAATGTTTACTGGAGGCAAGTGGATAAAAAAGGCTCAGTGAGATTTCTACCAAACAACATACCTGTATAACAAGATAGCGAGATGGATCACGGGCCATCTTGGTGAATTCTGCACTTAACTCACGGAACTTGGGGCGACTCTCTGCATCTATCATCCAACCTATAATGTCAAAATCAATATGTTACTAAAATGATGCTGCTATGCTGACATACATTAAAAGTATATCAAAAGCCAAACGTTTTATAGTTTCTGGATAGAATGGGAAATGGTTGAAACCTCAGTTACTTTTTTGCTGTTTTTTTTTCTCTTCTTTTCAAAAGCAAGTGAGGGGAAATCCCAGCACTTTTTGTCCCAGTGACAATGATGAGTCTCCCCAGTTGGAACAAAGACAGCAATAAAAACCTGACAGGATTATTAACACATCCACATCAGAAACTATCAAATGTTGGCTATAGACAGACGTTAGAGTAGATGCAAATCCTACTTGTATTATATTAGATTGCAAAAGTGTTGTGTATCATATACTGTATATCATATACAGTTGCCATTTTAAATAAAACTGTTACTAATACTTGTTTTCTCGTTTTGTTTTAATTTCTTGGTCACACGCAGTCTTGTTACTTCCTGTCTACAAGTACTCCAGCAATAGTTGCATTCAGCGTTATACCTATAATGAGGCAGCCAGAGGCTTTTGCATCAGGTGGCATCTCTTTGGGTCATATGGGGGCAGCAGGCAGAGAGGCATGGCCGCTCGACTGCACATGTTTGCAGTGGGCCTGGCACCCCCTTTGCAGCCAGAGCATCCCAGGTAGCTAAGAGTCAGGCGGGGAGATGTGTAAGGGCCATATGCATATTCCTGCCAAGCTCTTAGCAATCTGGGATGCTCTGACGAGCACCCCGCTCAACTCCTGGAAACCAGTAACATACTGGTTGCTGGGAGCTGAGCAGGATGCTTAAGATCTACTTTAAGGCTGTAGAATAAAAATAGTTAAAGCTGAACTCCGTGCACAAACATTTATATTTAAATATATCCGCCAATAGCACTAAAGGATATAAATCCACTTGGTGTGAACAAGATGGAAAAGTAGTGGTGTCATCATCACTGTGCTGTACATAGCCTGTGCAGAGCAGTGGGAGGGGCCCAGCAGACCCAAACCCTACAGGAGGGGTGGAGACAAGACTGGTCACCCTGCACAAGAAAGAGCACAGAAGTGACCGGTCTTTATTACAGGAAGCTCCTACACAGAGGCAAAGTTTTACACTGGATTACTGCACAGATGTGGAATAAACACACAAAGCACACCAAGATTCAAGTAACAATACACATGCCTCTTGTATTTAATCAAAATTACCTTCCCCCGGAGTTCAGCTTTAAATCTGCCTGATAAAGAAAAAATCACAACAGCCGCACATTGGCCGCTCAGTTATATCCAAGTTTAATTCCAGAACCAAAGTGGTTAAAGAAAGTATTCCTGTACTGGATCATTTTTCTGTTGAAGAATGTTTACACAGAAGATGCCTGTCTATAATCTTGCTTTATATGTCTACCATATATTACAGATGACTAATGTACTGCTTATGCTAAATGATATATACAGTACAATACATTACAAAGGACTTTGTAATCCCTCTTTATAAAGTTTCATTTAAAATCTATTAGAAGAATTTTTTATACAATTAGCTCATCCAAAAAAATGAACATATCTCAAAACCTTTGTATTATGAACTTACATTTCACCATAATCATGTACACATCAATTGTACATATGGGAGGCTGAGGAAGGCGTTCCCCTTTTTCTAAAATGGTGGAAATTTCGCTAGCTGGAATTCCGTCATATGGTTTAGATCCAAAAGTCATTAGTTCCCATACAGTGACACCTGTAAAGCAATACCAGCAATTAATAAATGTAATCTAAAGATATGAGTTATGGGATGAAATCAGAGTATATAATGTCCTAAAATTACACTTACCGTAACTCCAAACATCACTTTGATGGGTATATATTCTGTGCAAAATGGACTCCAATGCCATCCACTTAATGGGAACCTAATAAGAAATCAAAAAAAAGATTTTGTTCTTACTGTAAAATCATTTTCTTGGAGTCTATTAAGGGATTCGGGTTGGAAGAATTCTGAGACGTAGACAGCAGCATAACCCTACATCTCAGAATTCTTCAGAGCTGTGTCCCTCAATGGACGATAGAGAAAAAACACCAAAAAAAAACCCACCCAAAAAACTAAACTATACATTTAATACAGAGAGTTCCCTGACAAAACATGAAAGCAGTCAGTGAGCTACTAATACTCTCTAGCCCACACAGCAAATATGATAATATCAAAATGTTCTTACAGTTCGCATTAGCCTAAATTCTTTGTTATCCCTTTCATCCAAACTTCACAGAGCATCTAACAGGGTCAGTAGGAGTGTACTTCCTGAACCTTGTGCTGTTTAGTTTAGTCTCTTCCTACTTCCTGCATCCCCAATCACATTTACACTTCCAAGGTATGTTTAAATCTTATTTTTGGCTGTAAAAAACCTCAACATACTTGCTTTTTATTTTACTGTATATGAGAGGTAGCAACAATACTGGGGGATGTTCCAGAATTTAGCTCAGATGCATCACTAGATTACAGATCATTTCATATTACTGTAGACTATCCTTCTGCAGCAAAGCCCAATATAGATGACCAAGTTGGTTATACTGGACTCAATTCTATGTACAGCTCAACTATGTTAATTTATACTGTGCACACAGAATGTATGACCTAGTACATAAATAGTTTTGATACCTCCCAGAAGAACAACGCTAATAGAATAGTAAATTACAAATAGTAGAAATACATTTACTGTTTCAAATAACTTCAAGTTCTCAAAAACGAAATCATATTAAACGTACCTTTCCTCCTTCTGCGTGATATTCTTTTTCTTCTGCTCCCAAAAGTTTGGCCAACCCAAAATCTGTGATCTTAACATGCTGTGGATTTTTAACAAGGACATTTCTGGCAGCCAAATCTCTGTGTACCAATCTTCTTTCTTCAAGGTAACTCATTCCCTTGAAAAAAATATTCACAATAACACCATCAAATATTTACTATGCCAGGTCATCACAAGCTCTACCCCGCTAGCCTTTGTTAAGAGGCAATGCAGTCATTAGCATCTAGTTCATTCTTTTTGTTTTTTTCTAAAGCAGATACTGACTCTTTGCTTGTCCACATGTTGGAAAAAGGGGTGCACTTTGGAATTGCATGTGCAGTTGGTATATGAACTGATCTAAGATGCAGATGTTTTGAATACGCTCTGATGTAGATGTCCAGATTGGACAGGTAATGCAAGGTAAGTATGTAAGTATATGTCCCGTCAAATCTTTTTTTTCTTGATTTTGGATAGAGTGGGGGAGGGTTAGAACCACTGTCAAGTTTTTGGCTGTGGTTTGGGGCTCCGTTAGAGAGATATACCCTTACTTCCTGTCCTACTGACAACATTTTATCAGACAGGAAGTGAGAGAACTCCCTACCAGCAACAAGGACAGAAAATGCTATTGTAAAATGAATAAAATATTACACTTTTTTCTGTGTGTAAAGAAAAAAGGCTAACTTTTTGTCTTTGTGACCAAATAATGAGTAAAGGAAAAGCTGCCCCATGGTAACAGATACAGCTAAAAAAAAAAACAGGTTCTAACATTTCCAAACTCTGTTCAGAACTAAAAAACGTTTTTGCTAATATTGCATTTTAAAATATATCTATTGTCATAAGTGAATGTTTCAGTGATGAAACGTCGGGGTTGTCACAATCTTAATTTCACAAAATCCAATTTCTGTCATTAATGTCCCTGTGGTCCTTACCACATATCCAGGTAACTTAACCACTTGAAGACTGGGGTGTTAAACCCCCTTACTGGCCAGTATTCAGTGCTGAGGTACTTTGACTGACAGTTCTTCAGTCATACAGCACCACAGGGCATCGCAGATGAGTGGGAAAGGGCGTTTGAAAACGTCCACCTGCATTAAAGAGTGTCCCATCCAGCCGTTTAATTACAATGGCTGGATGGGAAGGGGTTAAAGCAATTCTGTTATTTTCTCTGAAAAATCCAAAGAAGAGCAACTGCAATAGAAGCATGTGAACACTTACCCTCTGGCGAGAGACAAGTCAAAACACCTCTTCCAGTCTTCTAGCACTGCGGCCTCTGATGGGCTTCAGCATTTAACCCTTCCAGCAGTGTTAAATGGCTATGTTCCCCACCATGCACTCTGGCTCCTGCTGCCTGCCCGTACATCACTAATGAGTTCTGACGTAGGAAATGGACGAAGGAACCACAAAGCATGGACGGGTCACAGGCATTGACATTCCTGGAAGTGGAAGTGACAGAGGTTGCAGTGCTGAAAGACGGTGGTGCTCAGACGCCACAGCCTTTGAAAAGGGAGGTATTCACAATTGGTGAGGGAACAGGGTCCAGGGGGCAAGTGGTGAGGTGGGTGTCAGAGAGAAGCTTTGTAACCTCCTCTGTGGTGACCGGGTCAAAAGAGGAGAGTAACAAGTGTGATGGTGGGTCTGGAAGATGCTGTATTGCAGGGAACACTTCTTTGGAGGTTTTGGGGGGCGGCAAAGTCTCTTTAAGTCTTTCCTACCATTTGACATGTAATCAACTAACTGTTGGTCACCTAAATATGAACATTTACATACATTTTATCAACGTCCATCTGTCTAAAGGTACATTGAAATGACTCATTAATGCAAGGTGGTGGAATTCCTCATACCTTAGCAATCTGCACACACCAGTTAAGGAGGTGTCTTGAGCCAATATTGTCTTTATGCTCCCGAACATAGTCAAGAAGACACCCATACGGCATAAGCTGTGTGATGAGCTGGACAGTGGAGGTCAAACAGATTCCAAGCAAACGGCAAACGTGAGGGTTCTCCACGCTGGCCATGACATACGCTTCCTAAAATAAAGAAGCAGAACAAGATGAAGATAATAAAACCAAAACTCAACAAAAGAAAGCCACTCACAGGTTTCAAAACACTCTGGATACTATGAAAGTTGAACCCTAGGCAAGCAAGTAATTAGAAACTTGGAATATCTTTATGGCATTTTGGTACTGACCAAAGATTTGGTATTTTGTTCAGGCACCCCTGCTCCTTTACTGCCTATGTCCCCCCTGTAGTCTACACAGAAGCTGAGCAACTAAGTCTGGTTTAAGACACAACACAGTCTTTGATTGGACCATGAAGTAGCAGGGGCATGCTGGTGAGGTCATCACTCTGCTCTCTCCTCCTATCATAGGAATTTTAGATTTCCAATCACTTTATTTTTTTAAAATAAATCCATAATTGTAATAATCTATTTTATTAGGCCTACCTGTTCACACTTAAATATCTGTTTAAAAAATGGTTCTGTGGCTGATGTATGAAACTTTCACCCAGTGTATTCACCCAGCTGAGCAAATACCGTTAGCAAAGATTCGGCCGGCTGTCATTTTCTCTCTGATTCCTTTCATCCCTGCTGGGCACTGCTCTGTGTCGGCAGGAAAATGTGTCGGCAGGAAAATGTCACTTTCGGCATTTAGCCGAAAGTGCCATTTTCGGCCGGCGCCCCCCCCCTTCACTTTTCGCCCGGGGCCCGCGCCCCTGCTGCCCCCCGGGTGTTACGCCACTGCAAAGAACTACTGCCACTAGACAGAACCAAGGTGCATAGGAAATGCTTCTTAGCTCCATCTAGTGGCCTAGTGCCACGCGAACGCCATTTCTCCAGCTATACTCTAGATTGAAGTTTTTATACTTTAGCCCCACATATATAATATTTCCCTTCCATAAGTTATAATAAGATTAAAGTCAAAATCAGGCAATATACTGTCGAGTAAGCATACGGTGAAAAACTACCTCATCCTTATTTTCACCAAATGTTTTTATTGGTAGCTCAGGAAGCCTGTAGCAAACCTGAGATTTACCAAAAACAAATTTACCAAGAACATATTTACAGGCATTGCATTTTTTTTTTTTTTTTTACTTGTAGCACAGGAAACCTGCAGAAAACCTGACATTTACTAAGAACATTCATTTATCAAGAACATATTTACAGGGATTGCATAACTTCATAGAAACTTTAAGATTCGGCATGTGATGTCAACATTGCTTAAGATTCAGCTGCTGTTTCTTTATTTACGTGCAACATTTATTCTGTATTTTCTCATGTGGGATATGCCTAATATGACAAGTAACATGTATATAATCGCTGCATTTTGACACTATCTGACTGGGGCTCTCTACAGCTTATAGTAGATGTGGTGCCACTGATCTCTTGGCAACGGTCCTGCAACCATGAATTGTTTGCATAACACTCAGACATCTGCAAAACTCGAGGCAGGGCTGGCACCAGGCTGCATTCCTAAGAAACATCTTCCAACACTTGTTTCCATGTGCACAACAGTGTTCCTGTACTATAGCTCTTTCCACCGCATGTGATACAACGCTACGGATTCTTTGCACAATACCCCGTAATAAGTGCCACATGCCATTTGACCAAACAAAAGCAAATTTAGTGTGAAACCATGGATGGCTGTAGAAGAGTCAAAAACAAAGATATCATCACGGGACTAACGTTACTGTAAAATCTCATACATGGCACTTATATAGTTGCTATAAATCATACAGAAACCAGGCATTATGCAGAGAAAACACCATATTTTCCTAAGAAAAGCTTCTGCTGGCAGTTCCCTGTGGGTCTACATGAGGTGTTGGCATACTAATTTTAGAGGCAGCACAAGCTGGCAAAGCCATATTTACTGGAACAGTTCACTTCATGGCTTACTATTGTGGGAATCAGGTGGTTAAAAGCTGGGGAATTTAGTATGTGGGTTGGGAACGACTTTATGTGGAGCCTGTCCAAAACATTTCATGCTTTACAAACGGTGTTCACATTTAAAACACAGGAAACAGCCAGTTAGAGCAGGTTTTCCAGCTTCTATAACATGCCGGTATCTAATCATACCTACAAGTGTTATGGTAAATGGTCAACATTATAAATGTGTTAAGAAAGACACCTACATTTAACAATGCCTTTTCTATTATTCTGCTGGCTCATATAACTAGAATTCAATGCTATCTGATAATCTCACTTTCATCCAATATATACAATAGGAACTCCAAGAAAAACTCGATCTAGCATGAAACAAGTATAAAGAAAAGTGGTATGTGTTTCTCAATGACACAATTAAATCTATTATTTTACTTGCAAATTCAGAGGCTGATCAAGTTACATTGTGGTTTTTCCTATGTGTGTAACTCTAACCAAGATGGCGGTGCAGAGGTTAGCTTTTGGCATTCTGCAAGGTTAACCTTGGGCTACTTCTGCTGTTAAAGTAAGTTTCTAGCTTTTATTTAAAAGAAATGTATAGTGTATTTTTAGAGAGCAAATATATTTAGTTACTTCTTTATCATAGTAAGGACTAAAAAGTTAAAAATGGAAAACATTTTTTTAACCAGGTAAATATAAAATATTGCATATGAATATTATTTAGTCTTATATCCAGCAATCAGGTGGAGCTTTAGTCTCCCTTACACATGTTTCTTTCTATCTCTTTACCACCTGCTGTGAAAAAGCCTGTTGTTTACAGAGTTGTGTACAGAGTTCAACAGCACAAGCTGTAAATGGCATAAAAAAATAAAACAGACTGAACCCTGATTGGGCAAAGTCTTGCACCTGACCTGTGGTCAGGTGCAAGCCTTTAGCCAATTAGGGCTTCACAAGGCGCATTGCCTTGTGGGACATTCAGCAGTCGAACAGACTGCCGAACACCCTTATAGTTCGTGCGTTCGGCGAACACACGAACTAGCGATGTTCAAGTCGAACTCATGCTCGACTCGAACATCAAGCCCAACACCAATGTCTAGTCACATGTGCCAGAAATCCAGGAAGTAATAGGAGAGCTAGTAATCTGCCTTTAGTAAACACGGTCACTGCCAGAAGACTGGTGAAGAAAAGAAAAATAAGATATGAAAAGAATACAAAGCCTAGAAGTACGTGCTTGTAAATTGTCATTACTTAACATCTCTAAAGGTGTGTTTGTTGTTATTTTAAAAATATGGGTAAAGGTCCACTTTAAGGGCCTGTATTGACAGACTTTTGTTGACATCAGAACTGTTTCTCTCCCTATACAAGTTAATAGATATGCAAAAGCAACATGTTACAAGTTGATGCAGTTTAAAAGGAGGTCAACAACAGACTAGAAGGAAGTCAACTGCTGTCTAAATGCACCTGTTAATAAATGCGGAATTAATAAATGTGCCTATCACCACAAAGTCGTCAAAACAGGTCCTAAGGCTGGTGTCCGGAGAAAAGATGTAAAATAAATTTGGAGCAAGTGCCCTGACTTTATAATGTTGGAGGTCTTCTTCAAGCTGCCCCTATGTTCCTTTCACAGTTTATTCACAATATTCATTGATAGTGGATAAGGTAGTGGAAAAAAAAAAGAAAAAAACAAGGAACCTCTAGTAGGTTTGGGGAAAGTGGGGGCTAGCATTAATTATCTAAATTGCCCAGAGCTAGGCTTTAACAACTAAAGGGGTTATTCACAAAGCTGCCGAAGGCAGCCGAGTGAATAACCCAGCTAAAGTGAGCCGAACGGTGTTCGGCTATTCAGTTCAGTCTTGTACGGCTGATATCAGCCCTGCATCGGCTAAAATCAGCCGTTCCTATTGATCCATCTGAGCCAAAGCTCCAGCAGCTCACTTGCTGCAGATCGCCCCTGTTCTCATAGGGGCCTGAACGGCAGTGAGTGAATAGCAAATGCCGCTCAGTGGTACCGAGTAGAATAGAAAAGAAGTGAAAAAAATGGGGAAAAAAAAGTTGAAAAATCATTTTAAAAATGATAACAAAATAGGAAAATTTAAAAAAACCCAAAGATTTTAAAGAAAAATAAAAATAAATCCTATTGGCCGGCACCTGACATCACAGCCGGCTCCGCTAAGTTGTTATTGTTTAATGACTGATCAGTGTCCCCAGGTCATTTGGGGCTGCTGATCTGTCATTACAACTGGGCGGAGCCAGCCGTGAGATCACGGCTGGCTCCACCCAGATGTCATTTGCGTGGAGATCGGTCGGCTTCGGTCGACCTTTCTCCACGCTTCGGGTGTCACTACGGCTGCCTTTGTGAATAGCCCTTACAGCAGCCCTTCGGTTTGACTGAACCGAAGGGTAGAGGCAGCCGAAGCGAGCCGAAGGATCAGCCGAAGCTACTGCTGGATCCTTCGGCTCTTTAGTAAATAACCCCCTAAGGTTTTAAGGGAATACATTGATTTCAGTGGGCCAAAGCAGTATAGTTCTGTGAAGCAGGAAGGAGAGCCAGCATTCATAGTGAAAAAATGTTTGCAACTATAATTACAAACTATTTTTAAAAACAGTATTTCAAAAACAACACACTTGGACAAAATGATTTACACTAAGGTGTTCTCTTTTACATTTACATGTATATCTAAAAAACAATGGGCAAGACTGAGTTTTACTTTTAAATTAGCTACTCTATGGTGTGGCATGGTATGGGGTGACAGCACTCTAAAATTATATAAACGGTTTGTATATTGTAACCAACAATTAGTAAAGTGCAGAAAAACATTGCAAACAATGAGGTATTCATTTCACATAGTATTGTGTAGCAGGCTTGACGTATTGCATGGAATAAAGCCATCTAACCTTCCACTAAAAACATAGATTTTGCACCCTCACCTCTCCGATCTGCAGAAATATGAACAAACCTGCGTCTTGTCTGCAATTGTTTACCTTGGACACGGCAAAGGTACATTGTGATCTAATGAAAATATACCTGGCATTTAGTTGCAATTCACTGAAAAATGCCCTTCCCAAAAACAGCCTATGGGAATCTGGGAATTGTGGTTACCAAAGCTTACATGTGGGAACTGAAACTTGTTTAATTTGTCATCAAACCAGAAGGCTCATGAAAGAATAACATTGTTTAACCAAGTATAAAATAATTAATAAAGAGAAGTAAGTATGTAAGTGATTTGCAAGGAAAGATGAGCTGACCCTGATTTTCAAAGTGTAATGTTTGGTGCATAGAAATATTTTGGTCACCATGACTAAAGTACTTACATCCAAGATTTCCTTGTTGGCTTTTGGTGATGTGGCCTCCCGCAATTCTTTAATAGCTACAGGAATTTTTATGCTCTCTCCCTCAGGAATCCAGAGCCCCTGATTACACAAATACATTTGATTAGTAATAGTATCACTAAACCAATTATACATTTGCTATTATTGTAACAATAGATTTTTATCTATAAAGGATAAAAAAATAAATCAAAATAAATATTCTTTTATGATAATGGTCTTTAATGGCCGGATTTTGCTTGCAAAGTCACCATTGAAGATCTAAAGGCCACCTAAGCAATTCTTTAATTGCTGAACTTGGATACCATGCAATGTTAAAATCAGAAATGATCCTGCCATTATATGGACTAGACAGATTAATCTTATAGACTGCAATGTTCTTCTTGAAAAGTCATGTCTTTATAAAAAGATCTCTTAAAATATGGCTGTCAAACCTGTATATTGACTTGAGGAATACCAACCTATATTAAACATTCTAAGAGGTTCTTCATAATTAAATAATGCATTCATAGGTTGTGGGAATTATCTTTAAATGATAAGTGTCATTTGGTCCCTTTGTGGCTGGACGTACTGTGTACGTCTCCCGTCACGAAGGGGTTAAGGACGCATCCACTGAAAAAAAAGCTTTTTAGGGCTTCCTTGCCCACTAAATGAAAGTTCAACAACCCAAGGGTTACCCTCACAAGGGTTGATCAGCATTCCACTTTTATAAGCAAAAACAAATACTTTACTTTAGCCTCCAGGCTTTCTCTTGAAGCACCGCTCTGGCCTCACGCTTCAGGCCCTTGTGTAATCCTCCAGACAGCACTCACACCCTTGAGCACACTTTTAAGACTCTAGTTGCTTCCAGCTGTACTGACTCACACCTCACAGGTCCCTGCTGCATTGATCCACACTCTGACTTCTGGGCAGACCTTCTCTGTCCTCGAGTGGAACCCTGAACCACAGTTCTCAACTATAACAAAAGTGCTGGATGCAGCTGCACCATCGAGATGCTGGTTGTCAGCAAACCCTGGACCCAGGGCTGGAGACTCCATCTTACCCATTACTCTACAAAGCCTCTGGGCTCCAGGACCCAATCAAGAGTTTGCATATCTCAGAGGCAACTAAAAATCCAGTTTCCTTTCTGTGAGACATACATTCTGGAAGCCCTCACCTTGTATGGGTGGGAGCCCTAGGTGGCAGCAAATCCTTTTTACACTGGGACATGGCTCTGTATTACCACAAGTTATGAAACTTAACTTACCTGATATACTGTGCCAAATGCTCCGGATCCAAGTATCTTGATCTTTCTGAACTCTGTCTCTTTCAGAATTCGAAGGAGTGCTTGGTTGGGTGCTTCACCACTGGGTGTGATAGGTTCTACAAGCTAGAATGAGACACACTATAGTTAAAATCAGCTGTTTATTTTTCTTTTGTTTTCAGTACGATCCAAGGCAGTTTATTCTACAACGTATTAATATAGTGTGTGGAATATTATATACTCTAAGTGATAACGGAAATCCCAAATCATATGCCGTTATTTTTAATCTGCTGTTATAACAATTATAATAAGCATCTATCGGGACTAACAAATGCACCTTTACATATCTTCCTGAGGGTACTAAAAATCAATTGTGCACATTTGATTTCAGAAGGAAATGCCAGATTATTGGTCACTGAGGGGGCCCTTCACAATGAGTCAAATAGAGAGTCCCACCGCACTCCTGACTGAGAAGCCCCATACAATGTGGGGGGGTTCTGAAGTTGCCGCGGATGGCGCCGCCAAATACTTGCAAAACAGAAAAAAATGGGTCACCAGCACTAATGAGTGCTGGTGACCATTCCTTCAGAATGAGAACCCAATTGTAAGGTGTGGGTGGGGGTATGCCACAGATTCCAGGATGAAGTCAATATTTGCATAATCCCAACTCTCAGGTTTTGGAGCTTCTGGGGCACACAGAAGTTATCTAAATTTACATCCATACACATCTACTCCTGAATCTCCAGGTTTATTCACCTATTGAGACCATTTTGAGAGGGAGGAGTGAGAATCTATATGTGCCTATTTTCATTTGAAGTATACAACATCACATATTTATATATAATCTGTGCATTTTATTGTTCTTATACATTTAATTTTTCTTTCTTGTAGTAACCTCCGCAGGGTGCGTTTTCTGTTAATACGATTTCTACGCATAAAGAAGAATGCAACAAGTCCCATTACAACTGCTGCCAGAATGCCACCAACTACACCAGCAGCAATGTATGCTACTTTGGATCTGAAAAAAAAGAGAGTCAAGTGAGTTTACAAGCAATGTGAATCTTTGTTAAGTTACTAAAATCTACATTATGAAATGTATTGGCGCTGAGCAATTTTTAATCTGCAAATTCAAATTTTATTTTGTGGGATTCAATAATGCAAAGTATAATAGGCAAAGTTCCATAAATCCTAGTGACCAATCAGATTACATCTTTTATTGACCTGACTTTGTATACCGAATTCTGAATGTTTTCTATGTGTTATTGGGGCTGCTATACTAAAGGGAAATAGCTTGTTCAATTTGTAAGGGAATTTTCTCTTAGCTTAGTAAATGTAAGGAAAATTCACTTTGCAAACAAAACCCAATCAGGTGCAAAGAAAATTTTTAAAAAATGTGTTTGCTTGCACATGATTGGATGTTCGAAGTAGCAGAGCTTCACCTCATTCACTTAGCTAAGGGAACATTTCCTTGAAAAGTGAACAGCCTATTTGCCTTTAGTTAATCAACCTCTTTGTATTATGTACATTGCCACTGCTGTTTACACTACCAGAACAAGATAGCTGCTGTACAGTAAGATTGTTGGAAACACAAAGAGGTCTATTTATAAACAATTTGAAGAGCCATTTGCCGTATGAATCTTTCTCAACATTTGTTTTATGCCAATAGACACAAAAATGCACGTTCTGAGATATATTTTCTTTTCAGGTCGGATGTATGTAATATATTACTGCATTATGGTCACTAGATGGAGCTGAGGAACAAAAGAAAAAAAATACTTATCGCTCTGCGAATTGGTTATGGATAGACCTCCAAAGGCTACATGCACACCTATCCGTTTTTGATTTGGTGCTTTTTATACACATTTAAAGCCCTACTCCAGGCTATTTTTTTTAAACTCCCCCCCAGGAGTTAAAACAACACATAAAAAATCTCAGGTTGCAGTAATCATCTTAAATTCGAATCTGTCCCCTGCAGTGTCTCTTTTTGGCAGCAAGATGTCAGTCTTCCTGGTTGCATTATGGCCCAACCCCCTGGTTGCAGCACCCTGAATTCACAGTATATTGATGCAGTTCTCTACATCATCTGCTGCTCTCTACATCATCCATGATGTGGAGAGGACTTGGGAATAAAAGGACCCAGACTTAATCAACCTTAACATATCAGAAAAAAGTAACTAAAAAAATATATAAAAAACTGCTGGGGGGTCAGCCTCGAAGGGGTATCTCTGTGAAGGGAGAAGCAAGGAGCCCAGAGTTGGACTGTAAGGAATGTTTTACATGTGTTCTATTCCTCTTGGAAGATGAATTTTGCTGGAAACTGCTCCAAAGATGCAGCAAAGAGGATTTTTTAATGTTGTGAATGTAGCCTTCTTTAGACAATAATACCTACAAAAAAAGGCAACATCTCTACTTTTAAGGAATACATTACACAGCTTCACAATTTAACCAAAAAAAATGAGAGTCTTACCCAGGAGGTTTACAGCCTTCTAAGCCTGGGCCTGTGCACCTGTTGAAACATAATACAATTACTTTTCAAATAACTTTTTGTTGCAACAATATTTCAAGCAGTGGCAAGCAAAAGAAGTAGCCAGTGCTCCTGTGCTCATGGTTGTAAGGTCTCCCTGCACCTTGACTTAATGAAATTTACAATGTGCAAAACTACTATTTCACTTCGCCAACTTTTTGAAATGTTTTACTTTTTTTAAAAACTATTATTCAAACTTTAAAACAGTAAGCAGAGTAAATTAAATGCCTGAAAATAATGACTCATGGTCAAGGGAGGCAAACTATGAAAAGGTTATTCCACCTTCTTAAATAGCTTAAAAAATGTCACTAGGCCAAAAGTGTAACTATAGCAGACAATACAGGAGTTATGGGCCCCAGAAGCACAGGGGGTCCAAAGCTTACTGGTTCCACACCATGAATTATACAGGTATCAATAGCATTTGGCAAATACATTTGCATAAAATGAGTTTATATAGTTTGGGGACCTCTTTACAATTGCTTTGAAAGCAAATATTATGCTGAATCACTACAAAAATTGCCTTTGAGCTGGAGAGACAGGGGTCCCCTTAATGGTTCTGCTATAGGACCCCATTACACATAGTTGCAGGGTCTCTTGCTCAGTTATAGTTATAGGGTCTCTAGTCTCTTGTTCAAATTTGCATTAGATCTCAGAAAGCCCACAGACAATTAACACCTGCTTTACATTGACAACTAAAGTTTATACCAAAGGGTAGACAAAATATTTCTACTGACTATACATATGTTTAAAAAAAAAATTATGGATTAAAAAGGACCTACAAACACTACCTACATGTTTGTAATGTTTATTGTAAAACAGCCAGCAGAGGTCAGCAGCGCCCAGAATGCTCACATGTACTGCTACCATGATTGGTGATTTGGAAAGTCTTAGCATGATTTTGTTATCCAAGTAAAACAAATAAAACAAAAAAGACAAAAAATGTCATAATACTCTAACAAGCTGGGGGTTCCTGACCACCTTGTATGTATTATCACTAAGGGATAAGATTAAAATCACATTAGCGGATAGAATAAAACAGTGTAAATAATATCTTTAGGACTAAAATTAAAGTAATACAGTAACTCCAAATAATTATCTTCCATGAAGACCTTATTTAAATAGTATGGCTTAGTGATTGTATAGATATTCATTATGGATTGATCACAGGCCACCAGTAATCTAATATTGAAACCCAGGAGCTGCGTTTTTCATATGGCAACCTACAGGTTAAACTCACCCTGTCTTGCATTCTGGGCTGCAAAGCTGACATACTCCATTCTGATCAGGATATTTTGAGAATATGGCAGTATTCCCATCATAGAAAGCAGGAGGACAGCTGTTGACGCAAGTGTAATCATCAATGTAATGGGCACATTTTATACACTGGTCTGCACCCTGAGAAAAAAATCAGTAAGAAGATTTAGTGCAACATCAAAATGTATATAACTTTTGCATACAAAAACTTGGCTCATTTGAAAACTAAATAGCTGAACTGATAAACAATAGATCATAATGAACTTCCATGAACATACTATTTTTATAAATATAAATTTGACCGTGTAAAAATAAAACGGGTTAAATTGGCCTAGAATGCTATTTGTCATTAAACTGGATCTAAACCTTGACCTTTTAGTTTTCTAAGGAACTGTTTATCATAAACAACTGCAATTTCCTTTTTTATGGAATTCTGTTTCTATCTTGTTTTCATTCTTTTTTTTTTTTGCATCTCACTGCTGCTGATCTCCTTGAGCCACATCCTGTCTACATGCACTCACTTCAGCATCAACTGCACATCATTGCTCTGTGTTGGCTTCCTGATGGTGTCATTAAACAAACAGCCAAAAACACAATTGCAGTGTATATATGGGAACTGTTTTTAATAATTTTTAACTATTGACAGGTAACATAGCCAAGTCCTTGACCTCACCATTTTTTCAATACAGCTAAAGCAACAAAGCTTGGTCAAAAACCCGCACCAGGTTTGATTGGATAGGGAAGGGGCAGCAACACACTGATGAGGTCGTTACTCTGCAGCCAGGAAGCTGACTTTGTTCATCTGACAATACTGTACAATACATTAGTGTCTGATTGGCTTAGTGTCTTTGTCAACATGCTTTGAGCTTGGGTCGATTGCATCGGTTTGACATCAGGTTGAGATGCTTCTCAGATCATTCAGAATTCAATGACAGCTGCATTGACCTACTTCAATGTGTGGGCATGCAAAACCTGTTTAAATTGAACAAAGACCCAATGACACAGGCCCTTAACATGGCGCCCCCTTTTCTTTTCCAGCCTAGCTACACAGGAGGTTAGAAGTTGCTAAAAAAAGGACAGATTACTATTTAAAACAAATCTATAGATTTTTTTGAATATATACATAACTGGATTAAATGTGGATCTTTTATATCTGCCTATAGGTGTTCTTTAAAATGCTTCCTAGGTATCACATACAAAAAAAACCATACAAAATAAAATGGGGAGCACGGATAAATTATTTGCAGGACCAGAAATCCTAAAACCCAGCTTAACTTACACAAAGGGATACTAATAAAAAAGATTCACAAACATATATGTCACATCTGATTGCTCTGCTTAGAGCAATGCACTCTTTTGTATAATTAACCATTAGACGGCAGGCAGACTGCAAGTAGGTCTACCGACAAGGACTTCAAAAGTTTTAGAAAACGATGTCATCAAAATTGGATGTATTTGGCCCTGGTGTTACATGTATAATTCTGCATTTCATAGGGTTTTTCTTGTTGTCTGTGCCTACTGCCCCTCTAAATCATGTATCATATCAGAAACACAGATTGAAAATTATCCATAGACAAAAAAGGACCTTATGTATGAGTTGCCTGAATGTAAAATGTTCCCTATCAGTAGTCAAAAATCTTTTTTCTTCTGCTAGGTAGTTAGAACATATAATGTTGTAGAGAATAACTGGTTGCTAGAGAGAAATGCAGACTGTTCTTTAGACATGTCATATAAGAGACATCATAGGATTTAGCCTACAGACTTTGCCATAATAATGTAGTGACTGGGTAATTTATGAACTCTCTCCGACTTTCCCACACACTCCCCACAAATAAATGTATAGATCTGTTTCTAAAGACCCATATCCAACCCGGAACATGAACCCTGTACCCACAACCCTACCTACAACCAACTGTTGAAGCTACGTCCTCCAGCAACCCAACCTGAGGGCCCTTTACCTAAAACCCTACTGAAAATCTGCCTTTAGCACTGCCATATTAAAATAAGTGCACTGTCATATGACAAGAGACTGACATGTTACAGAAAGAATACCAAAAACTGCCTATATTAAATTATCAGCATTAGAAAGAGTGCCAGCCACTGCTGGAGGCTGCCAATCATTAGAGAGATGAATATTGACTGCCCCACATAAAAGCCAAGCCACAAGGGAATGACTGTCATAGATTGCCCATGTTAGACTGCCTAGATCAGAAATAATGCCAATAATGCCAAATACTATGCACATCAGAGAAACTGTCCACATTAGAGAGGTACTGTCTCGTGCATAAAAAAAGATCCAATTGGCAAATGTATTTTGAGAATAAAGTATTTATCAAAACACTAAAAACATGTTTTACCAGTCAGTTCCTCAGTCAAATCATGTAACACAGAATCTAGGTCTGCTAATGCTGCAGAGCAATCGGCGGGGTCTCTCACACTGACTGCTCGTCGCTCGCAGTCAATCAAGTTGCCTGATGTTTTTACAGCTATTAAAAACTTTTATTTATTCAGCATGCAGATAATTTCCCATTTGTTGCCGCTAGATGCCTTGCTAATAAAACTTCTGTTATATTTAAAACATTCAGATAAAGAAAATCTTCACTATCACCAGTTTTTTGTTCTGCCCATCATTAGTATTCATTTACTTTCATGATTACTTCTGAAAATAACTGTAACACATAGAGGAGCATGGGGGGGGGTATCGTAAAAAAATTATTCACCCTTGGTGTCAACTCTGCTAGGAGGTACGCCTCTGGGCATCTGAGTCACCTGTAATTATTGTGTATGAAGTTTGCAGGGCAGGCACTTATGTTATTTTAACATATAAAAATCAGTCATCACTTTTCTATTTGAGAATAACCACAGACTATTAAAGATAACAAATAGGGAATTATGAATACCTTTCATTAAAGGATGGTGAGTAATCCTTGAACTGGTTAATTCCTTTCACCATGGTCTGACACAGTGTGATGCAGATAATGCTTTAGACATCTGGCGTTCCAAACTGGTCCAGATGTTTGTCTTCAGCATTACAGCTCTGTACTGTGCTCCACGGAAAGCAATGTGTAATACTATCTACTTCCTGGGCTGATTTAATACTTCCCATCTATGAGCAGAGCAGTCTTATCAAAAATATGAAAAGCAATTGGAATTGTGTTTGTGGGATAGGATAGAAGGATTTTAAAATGTTTGTAGATGTATGAAAGACTGTATCCAGCAGCTAGCTCGAACATATGACGTTTTCTATAAAGTAATATTTTTTTTCTAATTGTGTTATTTAAAAAAATAAACTTTCTTAAAATTGTCTAGACATTTCTCAGTAGGCTGCTTTGGCTCTAGGTTTACATTAGCAAAGTACTAAACACTAACTGAACTAAGAGACATATACTGCCATTACTGCAGCTTTACTGAGTTAGAGCAAGAATGTAGCTAGTGAAGTCAGAGGAAAGTCTGAAATCTATACTTGTAGGTCAGTGACTTGAAACATTTTGAATCCAGGTCACTGCTACTGAAAAATATCTTCTAGTTGCTACTGGTAATTATTTGTTTGTGTTGACATTGGTAATCTGTAATATATATTTTATTAAAGATCCAGGTCCCATAGACTCAAGATAAAAGACATCTGTTCTGTTACATTGGGAGGATTCCTGTGACCCCAATTTTCATTCTGGTGTCACATTCTGGAGTTCAGGTATTCTTGAATAGCAACTGAAGGCTTTCTTCATTCTGAGTAGCATGGGAAACCACATCCAACATTGGGAATAAGTGGAACATATTACAATTTTTTTTCTGCCTACCATTTGTACCATCAACTCAAAGTCAATGGTGTCAACGCTTATGGTGTATTATTATGTCCTTTAACTCTATCTATCTATCTATCTATCTATCTATCTATCTATCTATCTATCTATCTATCTATCTATCTCTCTCTCTCTCTCTCTCTCTCTCTCTCCCTCCATATATCCATATCTCTGTCCAGGCTTAAGATGCACATATGAAAATGGTTCTTTACTGTACGAGGCGTGAAAATGTGACATAAGCACAAAATAAAACAGCTACTTATATTTTTAAGAAATATAGAGTATATGTAACACAGTAAATTATTACATTATTTTGGAAATCAGTTAGAAGTGGTCAATATGTATACAGGTGTGTTCTGACATGTTAGATATTTTTTTCAATACCACCAATTATTATCTTCTCTGCACATAAATCCTTTCATCTTGTATGTGCTACGTATGTTAGTCAGCATAGTCATAGAAAAGATTGCAGGTTGGCTCCACTGGTGTACAATTTGATTAAAAGAAGCAGATTTCTCATGGCTCATTGTTCACTATGAGAGACCTGCCTATGTTGGGCCACCCTCATATCCCCTGTTGTATTTCCATTAATCACTTGAACTCATGTCATCTAGGCTAGTGGTGGTAAACATTGTGTGAAATAAATATTAATATGGTTTGTGTTAGAGCAATCCAAGCCCAATGTTACTGCTTTAATCTCTCAGTGATTCAATGATAACTGAAACAAAGGCAAACCTTTACCCTTAAATCCATTTACAGTTCATATCATCTAGTTTCCCACAATCCTTATGAGAAACAGATCTTTTTCATCAACATACAACAAAAAAGAATTAAATTAAAACCTTCTTGTAAATCACGATCTGAAAGCCCTAAAGCTTAAATTATGTGATATGTGCTTGGAAAGAGCCACTGTGTCAATATAAATAAACAGCTGAATTGATGACCAAACCCACCACAACCGTTTTTTCCCCTTTTTTCTCGGGCCTATTAAGTCCAGATGTGCAACAATATTTGCAAAGAAAATACAAAAAAGTAATGAAAAACAGTTATCCATCCTGTTACTCTTTTGTCTCTGTCCATCCCTCCCCACAAGACAGGAAGTTCAGTTTCTGAGAAGTTAAGATTTATTTTTTTCCCCTCTCCAACGTTCTAAAGAAGCATTTCAGCAATCAGGAAGCCCAGCAGCAGTAAACTCATCATGTAAACATATTGTGCATCATTTTCTATATAACGTGACTTTAAACATATAATTGTGATGCAAACAGCATACTTACCGGTCCAATGCAGGTAAGAGTATTGTTCTGTGGTAAGCACTCAGAGTGGCATAAAAAACAATGATCATTTTCAATATACTCCCGGGGTTCTCTATAATAACAATGAAAGATGGAATATGTTTTATAATGATGATATATCCCATTTTTATTATCATCATATACGGATCTCCAAAAATACGTGAGTATCAACAGAACAAAAATTATTGGCACAGCACTATTTATTTACATATATCTGTTGCAACATTTAAAGTGGAACTATAACCTTCTATCTCTTACAACCAAGCAAGGTGCCATCTTAGGGCATGCTCACACCAAATGCGGTGCGTTCCAGAGCGGTAGGTGCTGGAACGCACCACAATCCCTCACAAAACTTCACCCTGAATTCAATGGCACTGCTTCAACCCCAGCCCTCCGTACATGTATCAATGAAAAAAACACTTTTAAAAAATACAATTTTTAAAGGAGCAGTGATTTATATAGAACTCTAATAGATACAGAAGTCTGAATATATATATATATATATATATATATATATAGTCATATATATATATACACACACACACAGAGTAAACTCTATGTTATCCGGAATTCAACTAACTAGAAAAAAAGAAATCCCCAGTGAACTCATTGTTCTGCTGATCTACGGCATGTATTATCCTGGAAACAATCGTGTGCCTATTTGTCTTAATTTGCTTTTGATTACCGCATTTCAATATTAATATGAAATCAATACAGAGTTTATGTTATGGTACGGTATATTATAGGGTATGGCATTAGTTAGACCTATTTTAATAGTAGCATTTTGGAAAATAACGTCACGGGAAATATTATGATTCATATGGAGATGTTTGTTTCTGCTCAAGTTACTTACGTTGAACGGCAACACAGCTGTTCAGTTTCTTCTAATTAGTAATAGAATCCCAGAAGCTAAAAGTGGAGATGTTAATGAAAAGAAGACTACGGTCACCTGGATGAGAAAAAAATGGATGGCCGTATGTCTGTATTGTGAATTTCTAACATTGATAAAAGAAAAATCCTTAGGGTACATGAGGGAGAATTAATACCTGATCTGAAATAAATAGGTTTTGTATGCATATGCAATACAATATACTTTTTAAAGTAATTTAGAATACGTAATTCGCCTGGAACATTTTAAAAAATAGAAATCGGTGCATATATTCCCTTTTATACTCTCAGAAAGAAACAAAGAATACATACTCACTTCAGCTTTTATTTACCTTAAAGCCCATTTCTACCTTTTTAAGTAATTAGCATTTATTGTGGTAATGTAGAGTTGCAGTGATTATATATGTGTGTACATTTTCGTCACTCACATTGCTGGCTTTCTTAATGTTTTATGGAGTTTTAATAGGCCCGAGTCCTACAAATTGAAAGTTTTCTACACAGGGAAGTCAGTCTGACACTGGGGTCAAATTGTAAAGCAGCTGACCCCCTCCCTGTGAATAATTGTAACAAGATCAGTGCACACCAGCTCTGCCATTCCAGATCACAAAATACTGTCCAGGTGGGTTACCACTATGAATACCCGTGAATAGGGGGAGCGAGCTCAAAGCGAGTGTGTTAATTTACACAGACTGCTTGAAGAGCACAGAGGCACCCATTTCAAAAGGAGCCATGAGGAGATTTAGAGGACAAAAAAAAATAAGATTCTGTGTTCATATACAACAAACACATTCCTGGCATATGTTTTTTTTTAAAATACCTCCGTAAAGGTAGACCATTTATTTTAAAAAAAGTCTTCCAATATTTGTGCATTTAACATATAGGCATGTTACCCATAAAAGCCTTCCTTGTGCAGATGTTCAAAAGTACTGAGACTGCTGCTGGCAGCTGCAATCTTCTTTGTGATGTCAGCAGCCTCCGTAGATTTACAGGGTTATTCACAAAGGGGTGAAGAGTTTGGAGAAGGCAGGAGACGGGAACAATTTAGAACAACATAGCTGATTTGGGAAAATTCTCCACTTCAGCTCCCTTTCCAGTTCAGCTATTTTGGCCTAGATTGTTCACTGCTCCTGCCTTCTCCAAATTGTTTACCCTTTAGTGAATAACCCTATTAGAGTTGTCCCTCACATTTTGCTCTATAGTTTTCCCTTCTGCTCCTCCCCCAGCAACTACATAAAAGGTTATGTTGGAAGGTGAAGGGATGGATGAAGGTGCGTGGCCAGCACAGACAATAATTAGACACTTCCAAAAAGGAGATGGCTTTGATGTGCAAGGAGGGAAGGGTCATGCTAGGGAGTTCACTCTTTCTGGAGAATCCAAATTTTCTAGCAAGTTCAAAGGCACATTGCAAGTGAATAATAAAAAAAAATGATGGAAATGAAAATACTTCAATTCAGCATTTGCAAATCTGTGATTGTGCTGTGCTTTTGCCTTCCGTTTTTTACGTTGACGACAGGGTCTCTTTAACATAATTTGTTTAACCATTTTTAATTCTCTCTTAAACCTTTTGTTAATTAACAAGCCGCTTTGTTAAGTCATTCATTCAAAGTTTTCACTGAATAGTTTCCTGTTAAAGGAATGAAAACAGACCAAAAATATCCCCTCAGACTAAGAAATGTAATCCCATAAAAATAAAAAAGCTGTTTTCTAATTATACTTTTATGCATTAACTAAATCTTGCTGATGACACAGAAAGCTACATTTCCAGGAAAGTTAAAGGTCTGGATCAAACCAAGATTAAATGCCGTTTTAAGGCAATCAAGAGTTATGTGTTCAGTTCATCTAGGGCATTCTGCGTATTTTAGAGGTAAACAGAAAGCACTTCTTCTGAAACATCAGCCAGGTATTACGCAAATCACCATGATGCTGTATTCTAAAATTAGTGTTCTAATTACAAAGTCTGAACAGAAGGCTTTGGAGTGGTCTTTGAGGCACAGCATTTAAGAGGCAAAACAAGGTGTTAGGTGACAGTAGCTGGTTGCCATATTCAATATATATGACTACGGGGCACATTTATAAAGCAGTGAATATGACTTTGAAACATTCAAAATTACTGTCATTTAAAACACATGCATCAGGAAGATTTACCTGCAGGGAATGTTCGGTGAATGGCAGGTTCATTGTCTGTAAAGGTTATAATTTACCCAGGTCATTGTATACCTGGTAGTAGTTAGACATACTCAATTGGACTTGTTCCGCAATGATGAAGATGTTCCATAGCTTATCCAAGCCACTGCTCAGTTCTAATGAGTGTCAGTAAAATACCCCAGCATTTATATTCTCAGGGGTAGCACAGACACCGTAATCCAATCACCATTGAATGTGTCAAGGCAGATGTTAATTGTCTAAGAACAGGATGGGAGGTGTAGAAATTGTGGTACCATCCTGGTCTAGTTATATAATCCCATCGTTGGTGTCAGAACATCTGACATGGCTGATGGTATGAATTGTTGTCAAATCGCTGGGGCTGAACACGGGTGGGGGCCTTTCAGTACCATCTGTCTTGCACATATAATGCCCCTTTAACATCTCTATCAGAGATATGACAGTAATTCTCACCTTAGGCCATGTGAATCAAATGATTAACACCTGTGCATACACCAAGGATGGGTATATGTAACTGGAATAGGATGGTTCCACAATGTTCACAACTCCCATCCTGTTCTTGGACAATTCACATCTGCCTTGACACATTCCATTGTGATTGAATTAAGCTCAGACTGTAATTTTTTTTGTAGAACAACATGACGCTGGACCCTAGGATATGGATTGAAGTAGGCTCCTATCTAAAAAACCAGCTTGGATTCCACCTCTGAAATTTATTTCATCCATTTATATGTATGGCCTTGCTTTGGCACCATCAGACTTCACTGTTCCTCCAAAGTCACCAAACATGATGGTACCTATATCATATTGTGCTTAGAAGGACAGTGGCTCTGCTCCCTGTCACATATCATTATTCACTACCACGTTCTGCCCAATGTGTCTTTAGTGGCTCTGCTAGCAACACACAAATAATTTCCTGTGGTAATTACCTAGGGGCATATTCACCTGCCACACCATAAATCACCTTTATTGGGGCCAGTGGTCAATAGAGGAAGACATTGTTCTTCTGTTTCTTGTCCAATGACTCCCCATGTACCTCTCCAGTTAGTCCACTTGCCCTTTAAGCCACTTTCATCCTTTTTTGCATCTCAAAGCTGCTGATATCCACTAGCCATTTTCAGCCACCTCTTGTCTACATGAATTATCAACAGCAGTGGCTACACATTATAGCTCTGGACCACCTTTCTGATCGTGAAACTGTGGACCATGCCTGAAAGATATGTGTTGGCAAAGCTGAACATAGATTTTCTGTATTATATTAACAACAGCTGCATATTTTAAAAGATTGAAAACAACATGTTAAAGATTTTATGAGATTTTTGTGGCTAGGTTTAAATCTATAGTTAGTTAAAGTGAAATTACCCTGTATTTATGTTGCAGGATGGTACACATTCTTTGCCCCGTCTATAGGTTTGACAAGAAATACACTGCGAAGGTCCAGGCCCCCAACAGCCCTGGTCAGAGCATAAAGGATTGCAAACACTTTCATTGCGAACTGCAAAAAAAAACAAAAAAAAACACATTGTTCACTCTGGCCTATAAAATTAAATAAAAAGCAACTAATGACATCTATAGAAATGCACAGTCTGACCTAAACACCTTTCTCAAGGCAAACACAGAGCTGCTCTGTTCCCCTCTACCTGGGATGTATTACAGGGGATGCTGATCTTCACCTTTCTGTTCGGCGTTTCACCTGTGCCTGCCCAATTTGTGGGATGAAAACCTTGTCTATTTGAATCAATTGCTGAGCTATTTAAAGTAGCATTACACCCTCCTTGTTTCCTTGTTTTACAAATGGACAACCTACAGCATCTATTATTTTTTACAATATAACCCCATTCTCTTTTGTTTGGCAGTTGCTCCTTATTCATATACAGTAGGCTCACTCCTTCAACTTTTGGTTGAAGAGGAGAGGTTGCAGGGTGATTATAATACCTATTCGATTGTAGGGGCCCTGGATAAAGAAGCCTATACTACCTCTGTATATAATGCTTTTTCAGTTCATCCATTGCTGTTGTTAACCTGGGTTTCTGGAAGCACAGGAGTTGGTAGTAAAGATTCCTATGCCTTGTGATAAAGGCAATGCTTGCCTACACACTGCACATGTTTATTCACAAAAAAAAAGAATATCGTTACACCACTTAAGATGGTTAACTTACTACAGTTGTCTTCGGGAGAGTTGTCCTCAATTTTTGTGTTTTGGTTTGTTCTGAAGATAGTCGTCCAGTTGAGTGAATTAACATAGCAGAGATTTTTATTTCCTTTAATTATGACATCACCATCGCTTACTTCCTTGAGAGATCGCAATCCCAGAGATAGTATTCCTTGGTTCACTATGCCCACAGAGAATCTGCCACTAGAATAACATGCAATATTTAGCATTTTTTCAAGAACTTTGTAATGTAGTTTTTTCACTTTCATAGGCGTAAACACATGCATCCCGCACGCCCCAGCTCCAGCCTAATAGAGTTAGGGTCTGGCCACGGTACTTACATGTGCATAAATCCCTGAAAAAAATCATACCCATCATGACGTTTTCGCCAGAGCAGTATCTATTTCCCACTGATATTGCTGCTGGAGCTTCAGGTTATACACAGCTGGTTTGGTCATTACTACACCAGGACCATTATTGGCTCAGTTTTAATAATTATTTCTTGAATACCTTATTCTTTGAATTTACTTACAGATGCTTATTCCTGCCTCGGATTATTTCAAGATTTTCAAAAACACTTAGGTCCGTGTAGTTGGCTGGCCAGAACTGAATCAATAGAAACCCTGTAAATGAAATGGGGCAAACAAATTATTTTGTCTGACAGATATCAATAAAAGGTTATGAGGACAGAAATGTTTGCCTAGATACAACTTCACAATTATACAGCCCAGAAATGAATTCACGTATAGTACCTAACATGAACCCCACCCCTGGTACAAAACTCCACTCTCTCACTATCATGGTCATGACATTTCCTGAGGACAGTGTGGAAAGAGTCAGTGGTGTCAAAAGTCAAAAGGCAGTTGGGTCCAGGACATTTGGTAAATATTTAAAGTAAGCCATTTCAAACTTTAACCCCTTCGTGACTGACGACGTACAGTGTACGTCGCCAGCATTGGGGCTGTTTAAACAGACTCCCGGCGACTTTTGCCGCCGGGAGTCTGTTTAAACTTGTAGAGCCGACTGTCGGCTTTACAACAGAAGCGATCCTGGCGACTTACCTGTCGCCAGATTGCTTCTGCGTCCCGAAGAAGGGGCCGCCCCCCCCCGCCGGACACCCCC